TTATTACAATCATAGGCCTATTCTTTCACCATCATTACACATTGAGGCCCTTCTTTTAGGTAAAACGATCTATCTTAAATTTTCTTGCTCAAGTTTGGGACTATTATGTTTTTAAATAACTTAGAAGGGAAATGAGGGCAAGCACTAGCTTTAACACCAACAAATGCGCGAAATATGTTTGTGTTTTTAATTCTAATTTCGTCGGAATTGAATTTTTAGAGGAAATTGGCCTACCTCAACAAGAAATGCTCTTATGTTATATATGTCCAAACTCGTTTTTTAAACTGAATATAAGCATTTTCCTTATGGCTTTATTTATTACAAACATATTCTTTCAACATCATTACACATTGAGGCCCTTCTTTTAGGTAAAACGATCTATCTTAAATTTTCTTTCTTGAGTTTGGGTCTATGTGTTATAACTTAGAAAGGCAAAGGAGAGCAAGCACAATCTTTAACATGAAAAAATGCGCGCAAAGTGCGCGAAAACTTTTTGTGTTTTTTAATTCTAATTTCGTCGGAATTGATCAAAACTCCCTAAAATGTGCAATTCTTAGAGGAAATTGGCCTACCTCAACAAAATATGCGATTTAAAATTTGAGATTTTCAGGAATTTTTCCGGGTGAAAAGGGCATTCAATGTGGAAAGATTTTCCACTGATGGATATTCTCCCCTTTTCCCCGGTGGTTACGCCACTGCGGAGAATAGGCCTACCTGGTGGCTTAGATCAAATGCGATATGAACACTTTTTGAAGTGGTTGGGGGTATTGCAGGCCGGGGTATTGTGATATCTGTTCATTGTATCTTCTTTTTATTCTTGTCTTTATTTTTCTCTTCTCCTTTTCTTTTCCTTTTTCTTTCCCCTTCTTTCTCTTTCCCTCCCTCTCCCCTCTTTCTTTTCTCTTCTTACCCAGCCCGGTACGACGGCTTGGTCAACACATCTAGATGTGTATAAGAGACAGGTCCCCCCCCCGGCCCCCTGCCTGTTACGCCACTGCTTATAAGATGAATAGGAATATGAATCATGCAGATCTGGAATTAAATCTAGGTGGTGGGGTCAACATTCCTCCCCCGGGAAAATTTTGATTTCTAGATGGCGGGAAATGACCTTTTTTGAATTTTGAGCTAGGTGTCTAATGACTTTGTTCTTCACATTACAATTTGTTTTGTTTTTGAACCTATTTAATTTCAGTGCGTAGAGTTCCTATCACTCATTATCTCTCCGCTACATAGTGTAGCCCAGTCAAAAAAGCTTGACCGTACCACTTTACTTAGAGGTGAATGTTAGGCACATAATCATTATTTGTAAAATTATGATAACACATTTTTTTGGTCTGTCACGATATCTGATATATATTTAATGGTAACAACAACAAAAACACTGTAAATACAAATTGGAAGTCAAGGAGACCATCTAAGCCAAGACGCTTGACCGCCTTTACCTACATGTATAATGGTCGAGTTCATCAAGACGGATAAATCACGCTGCTGGTTACGAAAAAAACTGGACATTTTAAACTGCTCGTAACAAAAAAACTAAACTCTTAATACTAACTATGTTTACATATTACAAATTAGAAAAGAATTCTCTTCTCTTTCATACAAAAATGATGAATTTTAAGCAAGTATTAGCTGAGAAACTGCTGTTTTTATATCAACCTTTCACCAGCACGAGCTTTTCGGGAATGTTTAACTGCCGCCTATTCTTTACCATTAATCGAAGTGTGTCAGATCATGTCAATGTCTCTAAAGAAATGGGCGTTCCGATGAGACCTCTCATCCAATCATATTGAATTTTAGCTTAATAGTCAGCTTAATTAGTCTATTTTTACGTACCGAAACAGCTGTTAAAATCAGCCGACTCGTTCAGAAGTGAGAGTAATTTTTGTAAACACGATCGCAAAACTCTGTAAACAGATAGGAGTTAATACACAGGGCGATCGCCAACTGACTTCGCTTAAAAAAAGATTCCGAACACATCATTGATTTTAAAATTAAAAATAACATGCAATTATAGCTGAATAAATAAGGAACACGTTGCAAAAACAGCCAAAAAATGGACCTAATATTAACGAAGATATGTATAAAAAAACTGCTCAAAAAGGGCTGATTTTCAGCGATTTCGCACCGTTTGGTGAATTCAGGCCGGATTTTTGGAACACAAAACAAATTGTAAAATTCAAGGTTTTCCCCCTCATGATCGAAAACAGTAAGGTAAACTTTCTCATTACAGTAAATAGGCCTGTTATGTGTGTATACATACATTTAAAAAAATTGAGTAGTTGCATACAATTTTTTCCATGAGATGAATCCCAAAAAGAAAGGAGGGTCCGGGGGTTCTTCCCCAGGAAAATTTTGATTCCTAGAAGGCGGGAAATGAGCTTTCTAGACTTCTGAGGTGTCTTTTAAATTAAAGTCATTAAAAATACTTCAGAAGTCGGAAAATCTCCTTGTCCACCATTTATAAATCAACATTTTCCCGGGAAGAACTCGACCTCCCTCTCTCTGGGTTCATTGATTTATTATAATAATTTTCAAGAGGGGAACACCTTGAATTTTGAAGAACTTAAAAGTAATTAAGTTCTTCAAAATTCAAGGTTTTCCACTCTTGAAAACGGTCAGATATTTTTTCCCATTGTTATTACAGTAAATAGGGCTTATGTGTATATAAATACATAAAAAAAAGATTGAGTAAGTTGCATACGTAGTTTTCCATGAATCGATAAATCCCAAAAAGGGGGCGGGGATGTCCTGTGGTTCTTCCCAGGGAAAATTTTGATTCTTAGGTGGCGGGAAATGAGCTTTCACGACATTTGAAGTGTTTTAATGAATCTTAGCCTATGTTCTTCAAAATTCGAATTTTCTAATAGCCAAAAATTCACTCCTATAGTCACTCCTATCTTCACTACTCCAGCGCTCATCCTAAATCTCTGAAGTCCTCTATTGTATATAGTAAATGCCTTAGAATAAAACGTATCTGCTCGGACCCCCTTGACTATGCTCACCATATTCAAGCTATTACCTGTAAATTTCTCACTGCTGGCTACCCCCTCAAATTAATCAAGCATCAGATACAGAAAGCCCACTCTAA